AAGTCCCTTGCCCCCTGCCCTAGCACCCACTGGCACCCATTGGTACCTGCCCCAGCACCCTATCCCCTGCGCCGGCACCCATTGGCACCCTGTCCCCTGGCCCAGCAGCCTGTCCCCTGCCCTAGGCCCCTGCTCCGGCACCCACTGACACCTTGTCCCCTACCCCAGCACCCACAAGCACCCTGTCTACTGCTACAGCACCCTGTCTTCAACCCCCACCAGCACAGTTGGGTCCACATTAGTGAGGCTTGGAGGGGGTTTGGAGCAGTTATTTTTTTAAGCATCTCACTTGTGTGGCCCCGACTGACTTTTCTGTGGATCAGTGACCCCTGACTCAAAACAGTTTCCCCGCCCCCTCCCCCATAAATAAAGACAATGCTGAAACATTTTGTGTTTGACATAATATTTTATTTAAAAATGAATCCTGGCCATCAAGCCCCAAATTGGGACGGAGCCCCTAACTGGCTGCAGCATCATAACACTCTTGCACCACCCTCCTCCCCCGGACCCAAACCTGAACCTATCATACACTGGAACCCCCTGTCCTGAGCCTCTCTCATCCCCAGTCTTCTGCCACAACACTCCTGTACCATCCATACAGTGCACTTAAAGGGCCAGTTTCCTTTGTGTTTGCTTTTTCCCGTGTCAGAAATGTGCTGGTTTCTACAGTTTTCTGGATGCTTAAGTTCCAGATATGTACAGTAAAACCTGTGCTATCTTCTGATTTCTATTTAGAACCCCAGAATATTTCAAATAGATCTATTATCTTTTTGTGGTGATGAGCAATGTTTTGTTATAAAGGATAGGCCACATTATTGTAACTTTTGCACCTTGAAAACTAACTAGCTTGTTAATCTTAGTTGTCTTGAAAGCATGCTAAATCAGACTTGTTGATGAAACCCAAGCATACATCATACATTTTAGCTATTTACAGCTATTTTAATTCAAATATGTACTTTGAGATGCATTTAGCTTAATAAGCCAGTTGAGTTGCACAAAATGCGTTCTTTTGTCTTGCTTTCAACTCTTATTCTGGTTGGATATTTCAAATCTTTCTCACTAGCCTAGGTCACTTTTTTACTTGCCCACATCACCAAGAGGAGGAACCAGGCTACAACACATCAGAAACTGTATAAAACCAGCATTGTTTTGTTCTGCAATTCTTTCCTTCAGAATACAAACATTCTCACAACATGTATTTTGTCTGCACTTGAATTTCTCAAATGTTACCATTCAGTACCAGGGTCAAAAACTTCAAGGGGAAGTGTATGGATCTTCTGGCATAGTTATCTTATGCCAGCAAGTTTATGTAAGATGTGTAAGACTTTATCAGTTTTTGCAAAACCTATTGGGACATTGTGGATTGCAAGAGACATTTTATCAAAGCAATCATTGAACACCTGCCCCTTAGGTTTGTTCCCGTCAGCAACATACTTCTCTAGACCACTTCCCTCAGGCCTCTTTTGTGGCGTACCCCTTGGCCAACCTTGCATGGCTCTATATTCTTTCCCAATTTGTGGCTTCCGACACCACTCCAAGTTGCCTAAAGAATGTCTGTTTTAAAGAATGAGTATCTTTATATAGTTTTTTCACAATCCTTGTTTCCTGTACTTGTTCAGTAGTTTGTGTAGCAATAGAAAGTTATTTGTGTGCTCTAACACCAATAGGATGTTAAGCTAAACAATAAGGCAAAACAGCTATCTGTACCCCGTACAAATACTTAATTATTCCCTTCAGTTTAGTGATGAGGTTGGTAGTATCAATTTTTATGTTAAGATTTGTGTGCAGTTGTCAGTTATAGTCAGATCTTGTAGCTCTTTAGCTCTTACAACATTTGGTTGGATTTACTTTAGACTTTCACTTCACATTGACTTCTCTGCATAAGTGGTTTACTACTTCAATTCCTTATACCTTTTGTTAAAGAAATGTAACAAATATGACTAATTAAAACTAAATGACTAAAGCCCTGCATGGATACAAAATTCCTAGATCGTTTTTGCACATGCAGATATGTGGATATATCCATGAAGTTGGGCTGATACAACAAAATTTGTTTTTGCTGTGCTGGGGGCTGCTATATTTCTCTGTATAAACGTCAATAGGAAAGAAAAAGGCTAATGAGGTGACTAGTTCCTTACTACCACACTCATTCTTATACAAGATGGAGACTCAGCATTAATTTTTGAACTTAAAATCTTTTTGTGGCATTTTTATCTAGACAGGAAGTGAAAGCGGACAGATGCTGGTGAATGCCCCATGGCCGCGGCTATCACAGTTCATTCACCCACTACCCACCGTAACTTGGAAGCTTTCTTTAGGTAAGAAAATTGAATGTCCTGTACAATTTACACAATTGGGCTTTTAGATCTAATTATATTGGTTCTATAGCTTTATAGTTATACAATATGCTCAGATATTTTATGTCATAGTTGCTTTGTTTTATTTGTGTAATTACTAATTAAAGTATTTACTGTCAGAGCTTTCTTGTATACTGTAACAGCTGATACCTTTCTGCAAGAATGTTAATGCATGTGCAGAACTATCAAAAGGGTACAGTCAACTTCAAAAAATCTTCTGTTGGGAATATCATGTAATGGTAGGATGTGCACGGGTAACACAAGATTACTGTAACCGAGACATCAAAGTTTAAAAAAAAAAAATTCGGAATGCTATCCACACAGATTCTGTCTTGTGTTTTGGCTTCTTAAAATCAGACAAGTACAGCTCCCCAACTCTGATATTCTTTCTTGTTTGAGCTGAGCAACATTTTGTTCCCCCTGCCAATGCATGGAAGTACGTACCCCTTTAGAGAGTTGCTTGGTCAAGGGGAATGTTGTATTTTTGTGGTGGTTTGATATGGCATTTAAAATCCTTGTAATAGTATAGCTGCTGCTAACAGGTCCCTTCTGAAAGAATAATTTGGCACCAGTTGAGAGCCATGCTCCTTGGAGTTCCCTGTTCTTTTGCAAAACTGCTGGATGAACATGTTGAGACTAGTCTTTCAGTAGTGCTCTTGGTTTAATTAAAATACTTTAAGAATTCTTTAAGAATTCTAATAAAGTCCCTCATGGACTTCTCAGACTTTGCAGGTCAGTTTGTCTTTGGTCAATGACTTTACAGGTCAATTCATCTTCTGGGACTCCTCCCTGCCTTCTGGTTAAGGAATCCTTTCACACACACAGGATGGCTCAGCAATGGTATGGATGTTCAAATACCTGAAAGGTGCTGATGTTAGACAGGAACTTCCACATTCTTTGGAGGTATGTGTGCATGTACACCTCTGATTGAAGGCTGCCTTGATTATATCACTTGGAAATTAGACTGTAGTTAACTTCAGTAGTAGTCACATCCTATTTTTAAATAATAGTTTACAATATAGTATCACAAATACAACTATTTTAATTAATACCAGAATAGAACAGAAGGTTCTGTGAATATTTATAAAAGAAAAAAAATTAGAGATCTATTTATCTGGAAACTGTACATGTTATATAGTCAACTTTTTTTCAGTTTGTGGTTCTGCATTTGGTATCACGTAACAGTGTGGTGCAACTTTGCAAGAGTTTTAAAATATTGCAGAAATATATCAAATGCCAAAACTATATCAGACTCAAAACAACTGATTGTTTACCCATATTTTGTTCGTTTTGCAGTCTGCATTTTATGTAGCATGTTTAAGCATTTACAAGGTACTTTCGTTTTGCAGTCTGCATTTTATGTAGCATGTGTAAGCATTTACAAGGTACTTACTCCGTATTTTGGCCCCTCCCTAGCATTTGAGGTGTGGTCACAGTCATTGCGTTCTCATGATTCTCAGTTGCCAAGACCGTCCTTGGAGACCAATGGCAGCACCCACAGGTTAGACAAGCCTCTGTATGCTACCTCCTTATCTGTGCTGGGTACCAGATGTCCATTTCTGAGCAAATGACCCTTTATATTTAGAGAGTGCATGCACAGGTTTCATAGTTGTATCATTTAGATGATGTACAGATTTAAAATTTTAGCAGTGTTTAATAGTTGTGAAATTTTGAAGTGAATAATAAATAGCATTTATAAAGATTCACTAAAAATATTGCAAAGGGAAGCAATATTTGGAAAAGCTAGAATTAAGGTTACCAAATGTAACCTTAATTCATACACATACACATACACACCCTGCCCTTATATGACCATTGTAATGGATATGCGCAACATTTTTTCCACACATTCTTATGACAGAGTATTTGAGACTCCAGAGGGGAGTCTCTTGCACAGACTTGTTCCCATTTTCTTTCAATTATGACCTCTTTTGCCCTGTCTCTTCCCCACCCATGATTCCTAGTCCTATTTTCCTTACCTAGCAAACGCCAGTTTCCACTTCTGAGACTTCCTTTCCTAGTTTCTTTGTCTGGGCTTCCAGTATCTGTTAATCATTTACCGCCTGTGTTTCCTATCCCTGTGGTTTCTTTCCTCAGGCTCCACATCTAGTATGTCATGGCTCTCTTTTCCAGGCTACTTGTCCAGCTAGTTTCTCCAACACTTTCTCAGATTTTGTTCTTCCTCACGTTGGTGCTCATCTAGTCATAATCTATTCCACCTAATTTTGCTGTTTTCCATCTGTATTTAAATTGAGATCTCCTCCATCTTACCTGAGCCTAGCAGTTATGTAGTTGAGATTGAGACCAACACTCAGGTCTGGTTTCCAGACTGGCATGCAGCATCTATGTGCTACAATTTCAGGCAAAGTCCTGCTCAGCTCCTGGTTGGGGTGTGTGATCAAAATCTTTGGAAAACTTAGCTGTGAAGTGCTAATAAGTCTGAACCATATGTATACTGCAGTTTGTCAAAGGTCGAACTTGGCCTAATTTGGACAGATTTTCATAGAAATATCAAGGTGTACCTTTGACTCCCTTCCAAATGAAAATCCTTCATGTGAAGGGTTTTAGTTGCTTATCAAAGAAGATGCCAGAAGTAACATGGGAAAGCATGTACTCTATTCCTTATTGTTAGAATAGCTGAGCTATTTCGGGTGACTGCATTTTTGTTTAAAAAAAAAAAAATTCAGCCAGAGGAAGACATGTGGCCTGGAAAAATTCATCCCAGGAAGTTTAAAGTTTGCATAGTTACAAAGAACCAAAAACAGAGTTTTATAATGGGAAGCTATCAAATTGCAGAGCCATTTAGTAAATATTTTAACAGGTAAATTGGTCAGACCCTTTTGTCAAAAACTGAATAATGAAGCAGCCAAGCCCATACACTACAGCTGTGTCTACTGCTTTTGCAGAAAAACTTGCCAGCTGTCTACACTGGCCGCTTGAATTTCCGCAAGAACACTGACGATCTCATGTAAGAAATCAGTGCTTCTTGCGGAAATACTGTGCTGCTCCTGTTCGGGCAAAAGTCCTTTTGCGTAAAAGCTTTTGCGCAAAAGGGCCAGTGTAGACAGATCAGATTTGTTTTGTGCAAAAAAGCCCCAATTGTGAAAATGGCGTGCGGGGCTTTTTTGCGGAAAAGCGCGTCTAGATTGGCACAGACGCCTTTCCGCAAAAAGTGCTTTTGCGGAAAAGCGTCTGTGTCAATCTAGATGCTCTTTTCCGCAAGTGCTTTTAATGGAAAACTTTTCTGTTAAAAGCATTTGCGGAAAATCATGCCAGTCTTAGACGTAGCCTAAGGGTATATTAACATGAGCTAATATGCTGCTCTTATATTTTTTAAATTAGTAAACATCAAATTCTTGATTTAGTTTTGAAACTTGTCTGTTTGAACAGAATAATTTACCGTATATTCCGGCGTACAAGACGACTTTTTATGTTAAAAAACATCCCCCAAAAATCGGGGGTCGTCTTGTACGCCGGGTATACATCCCAGGCGCGCCTGGGATGCCCCCCCGCCGACTTCCCCTGAGGCTTTGCAAAGCTGCTGCGGCTTTGCTCCCGGTGCCTCTGGTCTGCTGGGGACCGTCTCCAGCAGACCAGGGACACCGGGAGCAAAGGAGGCGGAGGGGCGCTGGGGTATAAGATGAAACCCTATCTTTTAATTAAAAAATTAGGGGGTCGTCTTAAACACCCAGTCGCCCTATACGCCGGAAAATACAGTACAGTTTAATCAGTTAAAGACAAAACTTCAGTTATCTTCTAATGTATTATGGTTTAATCACCATTTCTTTTTAATGTGGTTTTCCTCTCCCTATTTCTGTGTGAAGATTACACAACAAAACTCAAGTACAGCAAAATTGACTAGATAAAGAGCAGAATATTTTTGTGTCTCAGTTACGGTAGTCTAGGTAGTGAAACAATAGATTTTCATACTACTTTTTTCCTATTCTTGGACCTGATTACCTTTCAAGGTGTGTATGTGGGGAAAATACTTCTGAAATAATCATATGCAGTGTCTTAGGAGCTTCATAACCTTCTGTGAATTGACTTGTGTTCTTCATTTTTGTTGTTTGTAAATATGATCATACTTCACCATAGTCTTTAAAGTGGATTTATTGCTGGAATAATTTCTCTGGTGAATAAAGTCATCTATCTACAAAATAGACAACAGGGATGCGGATCATAGTGAGCTAGCGTTCTAACTAGTTCTATGAATAGATGTCTTCTCCGCTGGCATTTCTCTGCATTGAACATATTTATTTCCTGTTCTTCCAAGTGATGTAAACCTACAGTCTCGTTCAATTCCTTACTAAGCCCTGCAAAATCAGGTCGCATTAGTAGTGGAAAGTGTCATCTTTCAATTTTCTCGAAAACTGTCATTTCATCTCAGAACATGGATTACTACAGCCAGATCTTTAGTTTCATCATTCTAGATTCCAGAAACTAATTCTGGCATTAAATGTGAAAGCTTTGCATAGCCTCTGCATTGGGGACAATACAGTTGCTATTTTTCTCAGTGGACGAGGATACCATAAAAACATCATTTCTGTGTCATAGTCTTAAAAATGGCTTCAGACTGGCAACAGAAGCATATTGGGAGCAAACTTAATTTTCAAACATCCTCAGTGTAACAAACTGCTTATAACAACATTGACCATATGTCCATCTAAGATTCTTCTTTTATGATGAAGCTCTATCAAATCTAAAGCCTATGGGCTCACTTTGTCTCTGACAGCTGCCAAAGTGACTAAAAAGGATTCTAGTTATGATAGAGGCATGTGATCTTCTAAGGTTTAGAACAAACCACTGACTCATTTACAGCCACTTTCCTCAGGGATTGGGGTACCTGGCCCTGCCCACACACCACCCCCAGAATGTCTCCTGTAGGCGTTCTGAGGGTGGGGTGGTGTTGCCCCCAGCGCCTGCCCTCAGTACTCGAGGGTGGCTCAGGCCACGCTGCTGTGTTGCTTCCCAGTGCCCATTGGGCCTGGGAATCTGGATCCATGTGGCCTCCTACCTTCCTACTGCTTCCAGGGATGGGGAGGTTTGGGTTGGCTCAGCTCGGGCTGCACAGCTGCCTCCCTTCCTTCTGCTCCTGGGGATGTGGAGACATGTGCCGCGCCTGCCCTCAGTACTCGAGGGTGGCTCAGGCCACGCTGCTGTGTTGCTTCCCAGTGCCCATTGGGCCTGGGAATCTGGATCCATGTGGCCTCCTACCTTCCTACTGCTTCCAGGGATGGGGAGGTTTGGGTTGGCTCAGCTCGGGCTGCACAGCTGCCTCCCTTCCTTCTGCTCCTGGGGATGTGGAGACATGTGCCGGCTCAGGCCATGCAGCTGCCTCTCTTCTGACTACTCTGGGACACGGCGACGAGGCTTGGGACGAGTTGAAGCCATGGCTGCCTCCTTCCCTGCTGATTCTGGGGTTGGGGGTGCTCAGGCTGTATGGCCTCTTCCCTCTGATGCTCTGGGGATGCTGGGGCATGTGTGTGCTCTTCCCCTCCCCGTGGTTTGGGGTGCACACTGCTCCTCCTCCCCTCCCTGTGGTAGGGGCAGTGCCTCAGTGGAGCGGGCAAGGCTGTAAGTGGGGCTGGAGGCCTGCCTACTCCAGCTGCACCGACTCCCCATGTACACAACTTTACTACCCTTTCCCCTGGTTGCCTTCATAAAGGTGCAGCTGGAAGTCTAGGCATTCAACTCCTATTGGCTTGCCTCAACTACCTTCTGTGCCTTGGACAATTTCCCTCTTGGTCTCCAACCCATAGGTATATTAGTGGGACATAAGCAGATCATATCAGGATCCTGCAAGTTCCTGAAAAATATGAAAGTACAACAATATTTCAAAAAGTAGTTGGATGTTTAAGAGAAATACTGGATTTAGTTTTGATACACCATTAATATATAGAAAGTGAAGGGTTACTGTCCATATTTTAATTGGTAAAAATTTCTTTTAAAGTTCCTGGACTAAAAAGACAAAGGGTTTGTTGGTGCCATGTTTGTTCCAGGATATTTGACAGACAAGGTGGGTTAGGTAATATCTTTTATTAGACCAGTTTATATTGTCCGGTAAAAGATTGCTTCTCTCACCAACAGAATATAATACCTCACCCACTTTGTATCTCAGAAATGGGTTTAGTTTTTTCAGAACTGACCTACAGATACACACAAAGTTAGGCTTTTCATCATTGAGATTAGTTGTCTCAAGCTTCTACAGCTGTGGTCACCAACCTGTCAATCATGATCGACTGGTCGATTGCGAAGCGTTCGGGCAACCCTACCTCCCATTTTTCCCCTACCCCCGAGAAGCCCCACTACCTACCTCTAGTTCCAGAAGTGCACGGGCTGCTCCCCTCCCACAGCTCTGTTGCATGCTGGGGGAGGAGGCATCGGCCCCGGAGGAGGAGTGCGGAGGCTTCCCTGTGCCACCAGCGCTGGAGGGGTGAGTTGAGCGCAGGGGTTTCCTTGTGCCATGGGAGTGGGGGTCGGCCCCGGGGTTTGGCTGGGCTG